TGGTGCTGAGGATCAAACCCAAGGTCTCGCACGTGCAAGCACTCTACCCCTAAGCCACGACCCCAGCCCAAGGCTGTGATTGATTCTAAGAGTACAGAAATACTCCTAGAAACAGAAAAGCAGTCAGTAAGTTTCAAGCCAGCTAAAACCCTCCACACTTTTGGATTTTTTTGTTTATTTGTTTTTGGTACTGTGATTGAACCCAGAGGTTCTCTACCACTGAGGTAGATACCCTGCCCTTATTATTTACTATTTCCCAGGCTGGCAACAAACTTGTGATATTCCTGCCTCAACCTCTCAGAATTTAGATGATGACTTAGCAATCAAAAGAACTTGCTCATTAATTGAGTAAGTGTTGGATACCAGCWGTGTCAACTAGGGAATATAAAGCACAATAAGAGATTAGCATAAGCTGGCATGATGATGCAGGCCTATAATCTCAGTKACTTGGAAGGCTGAGGCAGGATGATCACAAGTTCAAGACTAGCCTGGGAAGCTTAGCAAAAAGGGTTTTGCTAAGCTGACTCAAAGTGAAAAATTAAAAGGGCTGGGGATGTAGCTCAATGATAAAGTACCCCTGGATTCCATCCTCAATATCCTCCCTCCTCCAGTAAAAAAGAGGTTGGTGTCATGGGACTTACTGGGGCAGCATTCCCAAGAGCAGAGAATAGCCTCACAGTAATACTGACCTCCCTGCCACTTTGGCATTCGACAGTATACCAGTTTAGAGATAGGGTCTCACTGAGTTGCTTAGTGCCTCACTTTTGCTGAGGCTAGCTTTGAATTCAAGATCCTCCTGCCTCATCCCCTTGAGCTTCTGGGATTACAGTTGTACACCCAGTGAGTTGTGTGATTTCTGAACTCTACAGGGGCCTGTGGGGCTAAGCAGTCTGGAGAGCAAGCCAGGCCATTCCTCAGCAGAATGGAACTTAAGCCTTCTTGCTTCTGCTCTGTGCAAGCAGGAAAAAACTTGCATCTTGGGCATTTGTGGTCCCCTGATAATGTCTGTCTTTTGCACAGAAGGAACAGCAGTTCTTAGAAACCACCCAGTGTCAGCCTAGCAATGGGTCCATCCTACTCTTAGGAGAATCCTTCAGGTCTACAGGTGGGAAATGAGGCCCCATAAAGAAAAAGATAAAAACAGTTGGGGGTAGGATTTAAAAACTTGGTAATTAAAAATTTTTTAGCCMGCTGGGCACAGTGACACATGCCTATAATCCTAGCAACTTGGGAAGCTGAGGCAGGAAGTTTGCAAATTTGAAGCCAGACAAGGCAACTTAACTACCCTTAGAATAAAAAAAAATGGCTGGGGATGTAGCTCAGTTGTAGAGCACCCTTGTGTTCAATACCTAGTACCAAGGGGAAGATTTTTACATTTATGTTAGTCTACTTAGAAATTATTTACATTAATATGTCAATACATTATAAAGCATTAAAAATAGAAATGAGGGCTGGAGAATGTAGCTTAGTCATTAAATGTCCTTGGGTTCAATCTCTGGTACCAACCAAAAAGAAGAAGAAGAAGAAATATAAAGGGATATATAATACCTATTTTCTGTTCCCATGTCCTGTGAACTACCCTGGGTGACCATGACTCAGGAGGGACATCCCCAGACCCATTGTAACACCCTCCCAACCTCTCCCTAGGAGCTATTCAAGAGATTTTTAAAAAGCACCCAGAAACCAGTATCTGCCTCCAGTTTCCTGCCAACCCTTTTTCTTTTTGCTCTGATAATAGTCTACAGTTGTTGTTTTTAAGTAAGTTTTCTTTTTAAGCAGTGCTTTTGCTAATGAAAAATTGCTTCTTTTCTCTACACTGCAGCATTTGGTCACTCAAAAAGCCCGTTTTGTAAGAACTGTCTGCCCTCTTATTGTGGCTTTGATATTTATCTTGCTCAATTTTATGCCAAGATTGAATGCAAACATGGGAATGAAAACTGGCATTTGGCCAAGGGTTCAGTGCCAAGAAGGCACTTTTTGTCTCAGTCTTATTACTTCTCCCATAATACTCTCTTCCTGAGGGTCCTATGCAGTGTAGATTAATCTCTCTGGAGAAGGGCATGGGAACTGRTGGGTAGATGAGTTTGGGATGCCAATGCTAGGACTGTAGTAGCCCAAAAGAGCCAGTCAGAAGTCACCTAGAGAACTCCATACAGGAGTATGGTGCTGGGAAGACCTGTGAAGTGAAGGAGGTCCAGACAGCCCAGCAAGGAGCAGGCAAAAGAGAACACAAAGCGCAGTGCCTAGAATCCAGAGCTAGAACTCTGATCTTCTCAGGTCCTCCCTCAGTTGGAGATTCAGAATATCTTTTATGTCTGTCTTCACTGCTGATCTAATGTTTAATTCCATGAATACCAGGTAACCAAAGTTTCAGTACTTTCAGGAAATGGTGGTCTTACTTAACAAACATGTTGAACTTGGAAGCTGAGGTAATCTCTGCAAAAACAAGAATTGGTATTTGTTACTTTATCTCTACTGCACTGGATAGAGGAGGCTCTCTAGCCAGCATATTGGCTCTGTAGTGTAGGACCCCCYTTTTTTTTTTTTTTTTTTCTTTTTTTGTACTGGAGATTGAACCCAGGGCCACTCAACCACTGACTCACATTCTCAGCCCTATTTTGTATTTTATTTAGAGACAGGGTCTCACTGGGTTGCTGAGTGCCTCACCATTGCTGAGGCTGGCTTTGAACTCATGATCCTCCTGTCTTAGCCTCCTAAGCTGCTGGAATTACAGGCATGAGCCATTGCGCCCAGCATTTTTTTTTTTTTCTTTTGATAGTGGGTATTGAACCAGGGATGCCCTACCATTATCTCCATCCCCATCCCTTTTCATTTTTTACTTTGAGGAAGGGTCTAAATTGCTGAGACTGGCCTCAAGCTTTTGACCCTCAGCCTTCCAATTCACTGGGATTAAAGCCATGTATCATATTAAAGCCATGTTGGTTGGGAATGACATTTTTAAAATTTTTTTTAATATGACTGCAGAATGCATTACAATTCATATTACACATATAGAGCACATTTTTTCCTATCTCTGGTTGTATACAAAGTATATTCACAACAATTTGTCTTCATACATGTACTTTGGATAATGATGTCCATTACATTCCACCAACATTTCTAACCCCCTGCCCACTCCTTTCCCCTCCCACCCCTCTGCCCTATCTGGACTTTGTCTTTTCCTCCCATTCTCCCCCTTCCTTCCCCACTATGAATCAGCCTCCTTGTATCAGCGAAACCATTCGGCATTTGTTTTGTTGGGATTGGCTGACTTCACTTAGCATTATCTTCTCCAACTCCATCCATTTACCTGCAAATGCCATGATTTTATTCTCTTTTATTGCTCAGTAATATTCCATTGTGTATATATGCCACATTATTTTTTTAACCATTCATCTACTGAAGGGCATCTAGGTTGGTTCCACAGTTTAGCTATTGTGAATTATGCTGTTATAAACATTGATGTGGCTGTGTCCCTGTAGTATTCTRTTTTTTAAGTCTTTTAGGTATAGACCAAGAAAAGGGATAGCTGGATTAAATGGTGGTTCCATTCCTAGTTTTTCCAAGGATTCTCCATACTGCTTTCCAGATTAGCTGCACCAATTTGCAGTCCCACCAGCAATGTATGAGTGTGCCTTTTTCCCCACATCCTCGCCAATACTTATTGTTGTTTGTATTCATAATAGCTTCCATTCTGACAGGAGTGAGATGAAATCTTAGAGTAGTTTTGATTTGCATTTCTCTAATTGCTAGAGATGATGAACATTTTTTCATATATTTGTTGATGGATTGTATATCACCCTCTTTTCTTCTGAGAAGTGTCTGTTCAGGTCCTTGGCCCATTTATTGATTGGGTTATTTATTTTTTTTTTTGGTGTTTAGCTTTTTGAGTTCTTTATATACCTTAGAGAT